TGGGGACATGGGGACATTGGGGACATTGGGGACATTGGGGACAATGGGGACAATGGGGACATTGGGGACATGGCGACCACTGAGAGAACTTCATCCGTGCAGCCGTACCTGGGGACATGGGACAGTGAGGGGACAATGGGGACATTGGGGACATTGGGACATTTTGGGGACACTGGGGACATGGGACACCAGGGGACATCAGGGACACCTTGGGGACACGTTGTGACCAGGCCCCGCTCACCGCTCGCTCGCCAGGATCATCTTGGCCAACATTGGCTCCACCGGCAGCTCCGCCATGCGCCGGCCCAGCTGGGGACACCAGCGAGGACCAGTAAGGACCAGTTAGAACCAGTTAGAACCAGTGACAGAGCAGTGACAGACCAGTCCATCCCAGTTTATCCCAGTTTATCCTGTTCTAACCCCGCTCAGGTGGTTCAGGCCTCTTTCCCAGTTTATCCCAAGGCTATCCCAGTTTATCCCAGTCCATCCCAGTCCATTCCAGTTTGATCCCAGTTTGTCCCAGTTTATCCCAGTCCATCCCAATGCTATCCCAGTCCCTCCCAGTTTGTCCCAGTTTGTCCCAGTTACCGTGGTGAGCTCTCCCAGGTGGTTCAGGGCCCCCAGGGTGTAGAGCTGCTCTGGGTGGGTTATACCCCAGTTTATCCCAGTTTGTCCCAGTTTATCCCAGTCCATCCCAGTCCATTCCCAGTCCCTCCCAGTTTGTCCCAGTTTGTCCCAGTTACCGTGGTGAGCTCTCCCAGGTGGTTCAGAGCCCCCAGGGCGTAGAGCTGCTCCGGGTGGGTTATACCCCAGTTTATCCCAGTTTATCCCAGTCCCTCCCAATGCTATCCCAGTCCCTCCCAGTTTATCCCAGTTTGTCCCAGTCCATCCCAGTCCATCCCAGTCCATCCCAGTACCGTGGTGAGCTCTCCCAGGTGGTTCAGGGCCCCCAGGGCGTAGAGCTGCTCCGGGTGGGTTATACCCCAGTTTACCCCAGTTTATCCCAGTTTATCCCAGTTTATCCCAGTTTGTCCCGTTCTAACCCCGTTCAGGTGGCTCAGACCCCTCTCCCAGTTTGTCCCAGTTTGTCCCAGTTTGTCCCAGTTTGTCCCAGTTACCGTGGTGAGCTCCCCCAGGTGGTTCAGGGCCCCCAGGGCGTAGAGCTGCTCCGGGTGGGTTATACCCCAGTTTATCCCAGTTTGTCCCAGTCCATCCCAATGCTATCCCAGTCCCTCCCAGTCCCTCCCAGTCCATCCCAGTCCCTCCCAGTCCATCCCAGTCCATCCCAGTTACCGTGGTGAGCTCCCCCAGGTGGTTCAGGGCCCCCAGGGCGTAGAGCTGCTCCAGGTGGGTTATACCCCAGTTTATCCCAGTTTATCCCAGTTTGTCCCGTTCTAACCCCGTTCAGGTGGCTCAGACCCCTCTCCCAGTCCATCCCAGTTTATCCCAGTTTGTCCCAGTTACCGTGGTGAGCTCTCCCAGGTGGTTCAGGGCCCCCAGGGCGTAGAGCTGCTCCAGCGCCAGCACCAGCGTCTCGTGGGGGGGAGGGTCCAGGAAATCAAAGTGGATCAGGTCATTGATGCCTGGGGACACCAAAATGTCACC